GTGTCAAGATCCAGAGCACCCCCAGGTGGCGCTGGAGCCGGGTCCTGCAGTTCCTGTGCTCGCCTGCGGGTGTTCAGCAGCCAGGGACTGTAAGGAACCTGCAGCTCCAGTACTCACCTGCGGGTGTGCCCCAGCTGTGACGGATCATCCCATCACCTGGTGCTTCCTGGGAGGGTATTTAGGCCCTCCCTGCAGTCAGGAAGCTGGCTCAGTATTTGCGTCGCCTGCACTTGACTGATCCCCATAAACCTGAACCCTGCTTCCTGAAACCCTGCTTCCTATCTGCAGACCTGTCACCGACCCGGCTTGCTACCCGACCACTCTCTTGTATCCTGTTCCTGTACCGTGCTGCTGCCCTCCTGTTAACGACCCGGCTTGTACCTGACCACTCTTCTTTTCTCCTGAAGCCTGCCATATATCTGCAGGCCTGTTACCCCTCCTTGTTGCTTCCCCCTGGCTGTAGGTGTGTGTTTGTCCCAACGGTGGGTTTATTACATCACTGCTAATCCTGTGGGGAGTTGAGGGGGTTTGTAGTTTTGTTGTTGTGTAGCAAATAAACTGTGTTGCTGAACCTTGCTGCCTGAACCTATCTGAAAACCTGTCACCGACCCGGCTTGTTACCCGACCACTCTCAGTTGAATCCAGTTCCTGTCCCGCGCTGCCCTCCTGTTGACGACTCGGCTTGTACCTGAACACTCTTCTGGTATCCCGAGGCCTGCTGTACATCTGCAGGCCTGTTACCCCTCTTTGTTGGGTTTGTAGTTTTGTTGATGTGGAACCAATAAACTGTGCATATAACCCTATCCTGTGTGGGCATATTAATTTGGTCATCCTGCGTGGGTACCTGCATGTGGTGTGAGAACGCCTGTGCAGGGTACCCTGACAGTAGGGGTGCAGGGGATGCAGTTGTCAGGGGGATGTGTGCAGAGCAGTGTAGGGGTGCAGGGGATGCAGTTGAGAGGGATGAGTGCAGAGCAGTGTAGGGGTGCAGGGGATGCAGTTGTCAGGGGGATGGGTGCAGAGCAGTGTAGGGGTGCAGGGGATGCAGTTGTCATGGGATGGGTGCAGAGCAGTGTAGGGGTGCAGGGGATTCAGTTGTGAAGCAGATGGCTGAGGAGCTGCGGAGGAGTATGGGAATGCGGATGTGGAAGGAAGGGCTGTAGAGCAGTTGAGGGGAGAAGCAGCGGAAAGGTGCAGTGGATGCAGTTGTGAGGGGGATGGGTGCACAGCAGCAGAGGGGTGCAGGGAATGCAGTTGTGAAGCAGAGGGCTGAGGAGCTGCGGAGGAGTATGGGAATGCGGAAGGAAGGGCTGTAGAGCAGTTGAGGGGTGAGAAGCAGCGGACGGGTGCAGGGGATGCCATTGTGGATATAATGCGATGTATAGTACGCGGGGATCAGCCCATATATCTCGCTGTATGACAATATGTTGCGTCTCCTCTCTCTCTGTGTTGCAGATTAATCTGTTGGGTGTTTCGGGTGACACAGACTTCCCGTGCTGTATAAATGGAGGATTCCTCATCATCGCCTTCTGTTGTGTGGACCTGTCTGCCATGTACATCGGAGCCCCAGCGGGATTGCAGTCATCACCGCTGAGCTGCACCTGCTCGCACATCTGGCTGCAGGTTGGAGAGACGATGTACACAGTTCTAGCCGGAATCCTGACTTCCTGGTACAGATTTCTGAGTTCATCTAAAATGATACAAAGTTACGAATTGCCTCTGATACAATAATTGGGCAAATATCGGGTCAGTCTGAGAGGCAAAAATATTGGAAGGGTTGGATCAAGGGATAGGGGGATAGAGTCAAGTGTTAAAAGTGAATGGTACAACCAAAACATACATTTTTGGTTTTGGATAAGGACGGAAAGGGTTAAAAGGCTTTTATTTTCTCTTTGAGACACAACAGGAAGTGATGAGAAATCCCCTTTTAGACTGCTGACACCAAAACTGGTTTCCCCATTGGAAGATTTCCCTTCTAATTATGTTCTAATGACAACTGCACAATTTTGGCACCCAGAGCGAAGAGCTGTCCCAACAGCCACTGACCACCAACACCGGCCCTCCGCTCCCTAGCGCCACCTTCCTGCAGGTTGTAGAGCCGCACAGCGGATCCGATCTCATTAAAGGAGAACTATGAGGTGAGTGAAAATCACTCAGCCTCATAATCTGAGCCGACCTGTGACAATGAGACTGTCACAGGTCGGCTCAGTAGATCGGGAAGTGAGAGAACACATACCGGCGCTCGCTCACTTCTCGACCTATCCATGCAGAGAGCCGTGACCGTCACTCACAGCTCGCTGCAGGGATTCCCCCCTCCACGCTCCAATCCTCCAGTGCTGAGGGGAGGGGGCGGGTACAGCTGGCTCTGCCTCTAGATAGGCAGAGCCAGCTGTCAATCACGCAGCTGGGCGGATCCAGACAGTAATGTCGGGATCCGTCCCGGCTGCGGCGTCTCAGTATACCGCGAGCTGCAGCTCCCTATATACTGAGCTTAGGGTGACTGACCCCATAGTTCTCCTTTAAATGAAGAGGACAGATCGGCTCTGCTCTTCAGAAAATCACAGGCGCTCCTCTCCATTCATAAAATCCTATCACGTCTTCACATAAAACTTAGTTTATGAAAAGGAAAGCGTCGGATTTAATTATCCAAAATGAACGTTAGCAAAACAAAATCCCCAAAAGGAAATGAAAAAAAAAATTATAATACAAAATGTCACGACTTGTAATTACAGCAATTAAACACGGCCGCCTTCAAGACGCTGCCTCTTTAATAGGGCCCATTAAACTAACGGGCTTGTCATCCAGCGGGGCCCCCCCGGGGGAGTAACTGAGCATAAACCTTCATGTATGGGGTGCGGATGGAGGTTTATTAGTCATTTGGAGGATCAATGTGGAGTCTCCGGCCTGGAGACAAAAGAAAACATCTTTCTAGGACGAGGAACATAATCAACTGTGGAAGCGGACGGGTTATCGCCGTGCTCGCCAACATGGCGGCGGCTATAAATCAGCCAAGGCTTTTAATGAGCTCTGTTCACCAGTGACAGCTAATGTCATTCAGAAGGTGCACACGGGGAAGGGATGGGGGGGTCAGTGTACGCAGGTCAATGGAACTATATGACCTACATCAGACACAGTATAAATCCGAAGATTTGCGTCCGTACACATTGAGATTTTTGGCTGGGTTCACACCTAGGCATATCGAATATGTGTTTCGTGCCGTGCGTTTTTACAGCATTTCGCGGTAAAAAAACCGCGCGACAAACGCACATTTCTGAGGGCTACCTGGCTGTATCCCAATGGATACGCGTGGAAAATACTCCCCAAAGAAGCTCCTGTACATCTTTGGGCGTAGGCCGTTTTGCAGCTCGTTCCTACGCACTGTAAAACGCCCAGGTGGGAACCATGCCGAATTCAGGGAATTTCGAGCAGTGCGAGTTGCTGGTTGTTTGCACATAGTTGGGGGTCCCATAGACAGAGTCGGGGTACACGCTCACCTCTATTGTGTACTGCTCGAATATCCGAAGCTGCAGGAAGATGTCCAGCTTGATCTTCCTCTCGTGGAAGAGTTCCTCCATCTGAACTTGGGCCTCATCCAGCTGCTGCAGAACCGACTCGATGTGGCTGATGGAGCTGTTGTGCGGAGCTTTATTACTGGACAGCGCGGAGTCCCTGGAAAAGGTGAGCAGAAGAGCTTACGATCCATGTGCGCAGGCCACACAAGGCTGAACATTCACTCCCATCTATTTCCATGTTCTCCGTGGTGCGCGGCCTCACCTGAGTTGCTGGATGAGATCCTCGCCCTCCTTTATGACGTTGAGGGTCCCGTCCAGTGTGGCCGTCTGCTGCTGCTGGAATTGTTTGATGAGCTCCTGAACGGCGTCCACCGAGTCCGCGCAGACGTCTTCCAGGAGCTCCTTCTGAAGATCCTCCATCCACGTCCACAGCTGGGGAGACACACAGAGAGCCATCGCACATAATGCAACACAGGCAGGCGTATACAACAACCATAAAGGAGGAGCAGAGAGGAGAGAACAGGGGAGATGGTACAGAGGTGAGGAAAAAAATCAGGAGAAAGAGAGGGGGTGAGAGAAGAGAGAGAGGGGGGGAGAAAAGAGAGAGGGGGGAGAAAAGAGAGAGGGGGGAGAAAAGAGAGAGGGGGGAGAAAAGAGAGAGGGGGGAGAAAAGAGAGAGGGGGGAGAAAAGAGAGAGGGGGGAGAAAAGAGAGAGGGGGGAGAAAAGAGAGAGGGGGGAGAAAAGAGAGAGGGGGGAGAAAAGAGAGAGGGGGGAGAAAAGAGAGAGGGGGGAGAAAAGAGAGAGGGGGGAGAAAAGAGAGAGGGGGGAGAAAAGAGAGAGGGGGGAGAAAAGAGAGAGGGGGGAGAAAAGAGAGAGGGGGGAGAAAAGAGAGAGGGGGGAGAAAAGAGAGAGGGGGGAGAAAAGAGAGAGGGGGGAGAAAAGAGAGAGGGGGGAGAAAAGAGAGAGGGGGGAGAAAAGAGAGAGGGGGGAGAAAAGAGAGAGGGGGGAGAAAAGAGAGAGGGGGGAGAAAAGAGAGAGGGGGGAGAAAAGAGAGAGGGGGGAGAAAAGAGAGAGGGGGGAGAAAAGAGAGAGGGGGGAGAAAAGAGAGAGGGGGGAGAAAAGAGAGAGGGGGGAGAAAAGAGAGAGGGGGGAGAAAAGAGAGAGGGGGGAGAAAAGAGAGAGGGGGGAGAAAAGAGAGAGGGGGGAGAAAAGAGAGAGGGGGGAGAAAAGAGAGAGGGGGGAGAAAAGAGAGAGGGGGGAGAAAAGAGAGAGGGGGGAGAAAAGAGAGAGGGGGGAGAAAAGAGAGAGGGGGGAGAAAAGAGAGAGGGGGGAGAAAAGAGAGAGGGGGGAGAAAAGAGAGAGGGGGGAGAAAAGAGAGAGGGGGGAGAAAAGAGAGAGGGGGGAGAAAAGAGAGAGGGGGGAGAAAAGAGAGAGGGGGGAGAAAAGAGAGAGGGGGGAGAAAAGAGAGAGGGGGGAGAAAAGAGAGAGGGGGGAGAAAAGAGAGAGGGGGGAGAAAAGAGAGAGGGGGGAGAAAAGAGAGAGGGGGGAGAAAAGAGAGAGGGGGGAGAAAAGAGAGAGGGGGGAGAAAAGAGAGAGGGGGGAGAAAAGAGAGAGGGGGGAGAAAAGAGAGAGGGGGGAGAAAAGAGAGAGGGGGGAGAAAAGAGAGAGGGGGGAGAAAAGAGAGAGGGGGGAGAAAAGAGAGAGGGGGGAGAAAAGAGAGAGGGGGGAGAAAAGAGAGAGGGGGGAGAAAAGAGAGAGGGGGGAGAAAAGAGAGAGGGGGGAGAAAAGAGAGAGGGGGGAGAAAAGAGAGAGGGGGGAGAAAAGAGAGAGGGGGGAGAAAAGAGAGAGGGGGGAGAAAAGAGAGAGGGGGGAGAAAAGAGAGAGGGGGGAGAAAAGAGAGAGGGGGGAGAAAAGAGAGAGGGGGGAGAAAAGAGAGAGGGGGGAGAAAAGAGAGAGGGGGGAGAAAAGAGAGAGGGGGGAGAAAAGAGAGAGGGGGGAGAAAAGAGAGAGGGGGGAGAAAAGAGAGAGGGGGGAGAAAAGAGAGAGGGGGGAGAAAAGAGAGAGGGGGGAGAAAAGAGAGAGGGGGGAGAAAAGAGAGAGGGGGGAGAAAAGAGAGAGGGGGGAGAAAAGAGAGAGGGGGGAGAAAAGAGAGAGGGGGGAGAAAAGAGAGAGGGGGGAGAAAAGAGAGAGGGGGGAGAAAAGAGAGAGGGGGGAGAAAAGAGAGAGGGGGGAGAAAAGAGAGAGGGGGGAGAAAAGAGAGAGGGGGGAGAAAAGAGAGAGGGGGGAGAAAAGAGAGAGGGGGGAGAAAAGAGAGAGGGGGGAGAAAAGAGAGAGGGGGGAGAAAAGAGAGAGGGGGGAGAAAAGAGAGAGGGGGGAGAAAAGAGAGAGGGGGGAGAAAAGAGAGAGGGGGGAGAAAAGAGAGAGGGGGGAGAAAAGAGAGAGGGGGGAGAAAAGAGAGAGGGGGGAGAAAAGAGAGAGGGGGGAGAAAAGAGAGAGGGGGGAGAAAAGAGAGAGGGGGGAGAAAAGAGAGAGGGGGGAGAAAAGAGAGAGGGGGGAGAAAAGAGAGAGGGGGGAGAAAAGAGAGAGGGGGGAGAAAAGAGAGAGGGGGGAGAAAAGAGAGAGGGGGGAGAAAAGAGAGAGGGGGGAGAAAAGAGAGAGGGGGGAGAAAAGAGAGGGGCGAGAGAGGGATAGAGAGAGAGAGGGAAGAGAGAGAGGGAGGGGGGGAGAGAAGAGAGGGAAAGATGGAGAGGAGAGAGACTGAGAAATAAATAAAGTTTTGTCCTTCTGTAACATTTCTAATCTGTCTGAATTTCCGTGTCTCAGCGCACACAGTCCAATGACCTCCATACATCCTCCAGCCTGAAAACTCATTAAATGAAGTATTAATGCCCCAATTAGCCCTCTGTGTAAAAATATTCAGTTCACAGTTTAAGTTGGCGAACTAAAATTAGGCAGATTAATGGGACGATATCAGAAAAGGGTCAGAGTGTCCCGGAGCGAGGAACGTTATATAAATATCTGAGAGATCCTACTCGTTCCGTGTCCCTGTTCTCTGAATAGCTGAACACGCCATGGGGAATGACGGGAGGGGGGTAAGAACACAGGAGGAGGTCAAAGGTTACACTCCCGATCTGAGCATGTCTGGGGTGCTGGGCGTCCGCTATGGAGGGCGATAATTAGGGGTACTCCTCGCTGTCTGAGGTGATCGATATCAAGCAGAGATTGTTCTGAGGAGGATGAGATTGGCTTCCTGTAGTTGCCATGATTGTATCTGATGGAAAGTTACACTAAATATTCTGCATCTGAATAACTTTTATATACTAATCACCGGAAAATCTTATTTATTCTGTTACAGTTACAGATGAGATTTGGGGGTTCGGGCTGGATGTGGGTACAAGGAGCACCCAACCTGTTGACAGTTCATGGACCCACCAAAGCAATGATCCAGAATTCCTGACATACTGCAATGTAAACACAGCGCGGGGGATCCTAGATGATGTCATTGACCAAATATGGTCATGAAATGTGTCATCCAATCACAGTGTCCATGTTATTCATTATCAATAATGACAACCTTGTGCCCAGTGAATGAGAGATCCTGGGAGCTGCGGTAAACACCACGCCTGGAATTCCGAATGATGTCATTGACCGATTATGATGTCACCCAGGATCTGTGTTTCCACAACCACTTTGTACATTGTACTGTTCTGTAACCACACATGCAGCTTTAAAGGAGAATTATGAGGGGAGGTGATTTTCACTCATAATCTGAGCCGACCTGTGACAATGAGACTGTCACAGGTCGGCTCAGTAGATCGGGAGGTGAGCGAACACATACCAGCGTTCGCTCACTTCTCGATCCTGTACCGGCAGAGAACGGTGACTGTCACTCACGGCTCCCTGCAGGGATTCCCCCTGACTTATGACTTAAAGGAGAACTATGAGGGGGGAGGGGCTTGTCACTCACCTCGTAGTTCTAGCCGACCTGTGACAATGAGACTGTCACAGGTCGGCTCAGTAGATCGGGAGGTGAGGGAACACATACCGGCGTTCGCTCACCTCTCCATCCTGTCACGGCTCTCTGCCATGACATGGGAGGGGCTGGATTCCCCCCTCCCCGCTCCGATCCTCCAGTGCTGACTGGCGGAACGGACGGGGGAGGGGGGCGGGTACAGCTGGCTCTGCATCTAGATAGGCAGAGCCAGCTGTCAGTCACGCAGCCGGGCGGATCCCAGACATAATTGTCGGGATCCGTCTCGGCTGCGGCGTCTCAGTATACTGCGAGCTGCAGCTCCCTATATACTGAGCCTAGGGTGACGGGAGGACGCTAGTTTGTGTCCTCCCGTTACACTAAGGAGAACTATGGGGAAAAGCCCTGACCCCATGGTTTTCCTTTAAGGAATCCCCACGCATGATAATGAAATGATTGGTGTATTTTCAATAGAAGCCACATGAAAACACCCTCCCCCACTGGACATATCTTTTGGCAGTGCCCGGCACGCCATGCCCTTCATTCAGCAATGGCTTGCCTATTTTCCATGAAAAGCACCAGAACAAATAACAAGATCCGGCTCTTATAGACTTTCATAGGGTTCAGGGTAAAGTTTGGGGCTCACAGACTCCATGCTGGTTCACTCAACCTCCCTCCACCCAAACCCGGCGAGGTCCCCTTCTTATCCCTTGTTACTGTGATGGCCAGGTATCGGTCCCGGCGTTGCTGGAGGGCACACGTCTTCCCGTGTGTCTGGAATCATCGGACGCAGTTTAATTGGAATCTTCAGAAGACTCTCGAAGAGTAAACATGGAGGCGTGGAGGAAGACCTCATGATTGTCGTCTCCTCTAGAGCTGCAGCTAACGATTATTTTCAAAATCGATTAGTTAGCCGATTATTAAGTTCGATTAATCGGTTAATCGGATAAACAATAAAATACATTTTAAAAAATGGCTCCAGTGATGGACTACTAGTTTGTATTGAGATTGGAGTCCATCACAGGAGCAAGCTTGGAGCGGTGGCAGTAAAAAAGAAAAAAAATAGTGTGGTGTGCAATATAGTGAAATGGAAAGTGTAAAATTATACAGCAATGAATGGCATCGGCTATAGAGGACTACAAATCCCAGCAATAGTACATTATACAGCGCAATGCAGAATATCACCAGCTATAGAGGACTACAACAAATCCCAGCAATAGTACATTATAGCTGGCGGGATTCTGCATTGCGCTGTATAATGTACTGTTGCTGGGATTTGTAGTCCTCTATACAGCGCAGTGCAGAATATCACCAGCTATTTAGGAATACAACAAATGCCAGCAATACATTATACATACAGTGTACAATGTATTGCTGGGATGTGTATTCCCATGTATAATATACAGCACAATGTACCATCAGCTATCGAGGAATACAAATCCCACTATCCCAGCAATACATTATAGAGCACCATGTGGGGGGGAGTGCAGGCTTACCTGAGCAGTCTTCCAGCAACTTGCTTCTGAGATCGGACCTGTCTATTGGCGGCTGTCATCCCCCCACACCTGCTCCTCCTTACTACATCTCCCCGCGTCCCTTTGCCGATCGTGGATGTGGGTGGGCGGTGAGTGTGAGACGGGGAGGAGGTGCGGCGTGAAGAGCGTGGATGCTGGCGGGTCTGGCAGCGGCGAGTGAGGTGGGGAGGAGGTGCGGCGCGCAGCGTGTGTGGAGTCGTGAATGGGACCAACTGATCGGAAGCCGATTAATCGATTATTGAAAAAGTTGACAACTTTTTCAATAATCGATTATAATCGATTATGTCGATTAGTTGTTGCAGCCCTAGTCTCCTCAGAATTCAAGTTTTATCAGAAGCTGAACTGATATGTGTCCTGAGATTTCCCTTCATCCTGTGTGTGTGCGGAGGGCTTCAATCAGCCGACACATCGCACATTAGCCGTTATCACGCCGTCTAATGTGTCCGAGCTCCGAGAGCCACCCGTATCTGCACCTCACAGGAGAGATCTCCCATAACGGACGTTCGGCTTCAGGAAAACAAACTGGATGAGCAAAATGTCTCCAGAGGATCTTCATCTGTAACTTTGTATCTGACAATATGTGAGAGAGAATCCAAACCCCAGAACAAAAATGTAATATAGCGCAGCTTCCAGTCCTTAGATGTATTGGCTGCACCCCCTATACCTTCCAGTCCCTAGATGTGGCGGCTGCATTTGTTTTCTTTTTTCCTTCATTTACATCCTATGATCCTGCCAGTAACACGCTTCCTGTCTCAGGGTGACAACGCTCACTCACTATCCTGCATCTACGGAGGAGCAGCGGCATTACCCCAGACTTGCTCTTCTGATTCGAGCTACAGAACACCTCCCCTTCTCCTCATTCTTATGACATAGCGGGAAGGGGCTTTGCCAATCACAGGAGATAGCCGGGAATAACATTAAGATTTCAGTTCTGTGCACAGGAAGTGACGAGGACACAGGAATTCTGGCAGGATCAGCAGGTATTTTCTGTACTTGCAAAAACTGTTCTTCTGTTGAAATAGAAAACTAACGCGGCCTCCACATCTAATACAGGTCCACTCACCCCCCCAGCTCTCTATTTAAAATTGCAAAAGACAATAGTAGGCTAGCTATTGCACCCGCCCACTGAGCAGAGGAGCGATACTAAGAGACAACTTACTCTCTCAGGTCCGCTCCTTTGCTCAGTGGGGGGGGTTTCAATAGCCAGTCTGCTATTGGCTATTTCAAATTAAAATAGCCAATAGCGGTCGGGCTATTGCTCCCGACATCCACCTGTCACCTGCGGAAGGTAGCCAGCAAGAGAATGGAGCTGCACGGGGGTGATTGGGGGTTGTGCCACAGGTGGGGGGCAGGGGGGTGCAAGTAGCTGATCTTGCCTAGGGCGCAATATAGTCTAGCACCGACCCTGGCTGCGATGTCCTGATGCATTCAGACAAAGTACAAACCCTCAGCAGCCAGAATGCATCTCATTGAGCTGACAGCCAATCAGAAGCAGCTGCACTTTATACATCAGGAATCCCGGCTGAGATCTCGGGATCTGCCTCGTATATGAAGCGCCCAAAATGGCAGCGGGTGATGGTGGAGGGAACATTGGACGAGTCTGTGGCGGCACCTACCTCCTTGGTGTGGCTGTGGAAGGAGACGGACATGTCCAGTAAGAGTTTCCTCTGCTCCACCCTGCGGACAAAGTCCTGGATCCGGACCTCCAGGTGCCGGGCCGCCTTGTAGATCTCCTCCGGGTCACACTCCCCGGTCTGGGCCAGCTGCTCGGCCGCCTCCAGTAACTTGTCTGCATTGGTGTACGTGTTCTGTGGAGGCAGAAAAGAGCTCGGTCACTGAACGGACTCAACGTGCGGATATCACAGAACTCGGTCATGGAAGGGACTCAACGTGCGGATATCACAGAACTCGGTCACTGAAGGGACTCAACGTGCGGATATCACAGAACTCGGTCACTGAAGGGACTCAACGTGCGGATATCACAGAACTCGGTCACTGAAGGGACTCAACGTGCGGATATCACAGAACTCGGTCACTGAAGGGACTCAACGTGCGGATATCATAGAACTCGGTCACTGAAGGGACTCAACGTGCAGATATCACAGAACTCGGTCACTGAAGGGACTCAACGTGCAGATATCACAGAACTCGGTCACTGAACGGACTCAACGTGCGGATATCACAGAACTCGGTCACTGAACGGACTCAACGTTCGGATATCACAGAACTCGGTCACTGAAGGGACTCAACGTGCGGATATCACAGAACTCGTCCACATTGGACACGATACAAACTTATATATCATCGGAAGGATTGGAGCGCCGGGGACGTCCCACCGGAGACTCACCGACCACCAAATTCTACAACCCAAAGACCCTGAGAGTGGGGGGTGGGGACTGAGACCCCAGTGGGGTGGAAATTTTTTTTAGTAGGCTGCAGTTCTATATTACATTTTTGTCCTTGGCTTTAGTTGTCCTTTAATAGTCATCTCTATGACCCACATCCGAGTCCCCCCAATAGAATAAAAATATTTTTGGGGTTTAGAAGAAGAAAAAAAAAAAAAATCAGATGAGCAGTGAATATATATATTGGGAAATTGCAGCACCACTCACGGTTGGAAGTGTCGGAATCGATGTCCCATCCTGATCTCGGTGACGGCGCAGGGGATGATGGGATATCACAGAACATTCTACACCGGGTACTCTGCGTGTTTGTCACGTCCTCCGCCAGATTATCACGGGACGCAGGGAACCTAAAATTAGATGCTGACAGCACGTGAAGTGGGCTGTGGGGGGGGGATGCTGGTCAGGCACGTGATGCTTGGTTGCCATGGAAGGTTGCCATGGCTACTGCATCCAGCTACCCTGCTTGTTGCATGCCGTACAATACAACACAACAGCGAGGGCCGCATGCAAAGCCGCGCATTATAATTTCCTGCTATGACGAGCACGCTGCCAGCGACGCGGCCCCGGGATTCATGTGGTTACCGAGGCGGAATTCCAGCACACCGGTCACAGCGGGAATTCGCAGCCTCGTCGTCCGGAACGGGTCATTAACAACCATTCGTTCTCCACAAATCCGATCTGGCAGGAAATTCAATACGCCCGGACGGGCTCTTGCGGTAACAGTGTAGTCGTTGCCCACACGTAGACTCATAGAGAAAGCAAGGGAAGCAGGAAAGATACATCAAGAGCCTGTGCAATGATGATGGAAGGGGAAGGGTAATATGTATGAAGCGGGTGATTCCGCAGTCCTGCCTATCATCACACATCACCCGAGGGGGGGGGGACATGTCGTGTTACAATGTCTCCGGAAGTGGAATCGGCATTGACTGCGACCCGGGTAATAAATCCATAGAGATGATGAGATCACATTCAATTAACTCTCCATCCCGATCGATTGACGGGATGTGAAGTCCCCCATAGGAAAGCACTCAGGACATTTAACAGGCCCGCCCAGCCCCATCTATGAACACATCTCCGCTGCCATCCAGAATGACAACATCCACCTGAAAATGCTGCATGGCCGGCTGTCACGCTGATCCTCTGGCTTTAGCACTTTGAGGAACTCGCCCATAAGCAGCTCATAAGCTCTTCTTTCACTGGCTGCATGCTTGTTTCAGGTACTGAAGCCAAGAAGGGACAGTCAAACAAGCAGGACCGTCCATATGACAGGTTCTCTTTAACGGGAAATCTCCGGTGCCCTGGCTGATCCCAGAACAGCACAGAGCTCCTATCGGTCAGTATTGGGGGCACCCGGATCTCACAGACAACAAGAAATGTACGGAATGTATAATCCAGACTGTACTCCGGGCCCAACACTCCGGGAATGATGGGCTGACGTGTGTAAGGGTCCAGCACCAACCTGTCATCCCCATCCTTCATTCATTACAGCGCCTCACTTGGTAGTGAATGAAGGATGGGGGTGACAGCTTGGAGCTGGACCATTACAGACATGTCAGCAATGGCGGCTCCTTTCTATCTGCCGGCGTTTCCACTTGAATGAAATGGGCACCGGTGGTAAATGTGGCGACGCCCCCGGCGCCCTGACTCCAGAGATTTGCCACCCACATGATTGACCATCAGCCGATGGCGCCTATAGCGGTCCTCGCAGACCTGCGGTTGGGCCCCTGTGGACGCTCCGTGTGCATCTTACACGATAAAGCAATGTCACAGCGACAATGTCCCGGCACGGCGGGTGACGGAGCGGAAACATTCTGCCTATTGATTATGGAAAGAACGCAGCGCGGGCGGCTTCCCCATTAGAGGAAAAACTGGTAATTAATCTCGACACGCCGCATCCTCGCCGACA